TCCGAAGCACCACCCTGCAATACGGTGCATCCTTATCTTGTCCAACCGACACAGCCCACAGGTTCTCTGGATGTCCGCGTCCTCCCCCACATCACGGTACAAAGCCTCACACAGACGGTGCAGAGCAGCCTTCTTCAAATAAAAATTTGCCCTCACTCGCTGGGTGGCCATTTTATCCCATGCGTGGAAGGCCGCATCCGAATCAGCGTCCTCATCGCACTCTGATTGATTGTTATGCAACTCATCCACCTCCGCCTCCTTGTCGCCTTCGGGCAACAAGGGCACACTTGGGGCGGGTATAGCGGAAGAAACTGAATCGTGAACGCCGGGAACTCGTAGAGCCGGGAACTCGTAGAGCTTCATCGACACACATGAATGGAATGCGGGCGCGGCAATCTCGCATCCCGCGCGCGCGAGGGCGCAGTCTCATGGAGGAGGACGCGGAGAAGAAACAGGAGCGAGGACGAGAAGGAGATGGAGGAGGCTGAGGAAGAGAAGGAGGAGGAGGAGAAGGAGCAGGCGGAGAAGAAGGAGGGGAGGAGGAACAGGAGGATGACGAGCAGGAGAGGGAAGGGTGGAGGGCGAGAGAAGGGACGATGATAATGATGAAGAGGAGAAAGATAAGGAGAAGGAGAGAGAGACGGAGCAGCAAGTGAGAGGAAAAGGAGCAGATGAAAGAGGAAGAGGAGGAGCAGAAGGAAAAGGAGAAAGAGGGCCAGAAGCAGGAGTACGAATAGTTTTTTGGTTCCAGCTCTGGTACCATGCCGGTTTCAAAATGTAGATACTTGAACCTAGCACTCTTTATGATATCCGTCCAATTGCTCTGCCGAACAGCTGTAATCTCAACTGCAGCTCGAGCTACATCAAGAGATAGTTGTTTGGTTCCAACTCTGGAAGCAGACCGAGTTCGGGCATCGATACTTGAGACTAGCGCTTCTGATGGTTATCGTACGATGGTTGTGCCAAACAGTTCTGTAGCTCATCTGCAGCTCGAGTTACATCAAGAAACTCATCATCATCATCATCATCTCTGAAAACAACAGCAGAATAGGAATAGTTTTTCGGACCCAGCTCTGGTAGCAGACCGAGTTCGGGCACCTAGATCCTTGAGACTAGCGCTTATGATAATTTCCTTGCGATTGCTGTGCCAGACAGCCCTGTAGCTCATCGGCAGCTCGAGCTACATCGAGAAAGTCATCATCATCTTGAGAACTTTAGCAGAGTATGAAGAGTTTTCCCGACCTAGCTCTGGAAGCAGACCAAGTTCGGGCATCTAGATACTTGAGACTAGCGCGTCTGATTAGTCTCTTGCGATTGCTGTGCTGAACAGCTCTGTAGCTCATCTGCAGCTCGAGTTAACTTCAGAAAACCGACAGCACCTGCCAAGAAGACACTAAACAGCCGATCCCGCCTGAGTGAATTTTGACAATAATATGTACCCGATCGACCTGATATTAAGATGGCGAGCGGGAATATGATCGAATATGGGGGGGCAAAAATTAGAGCTCTAAGAAATTAAATTTAAATAGGTCGCCCCCCCCGTCGAGGTTCGTTTTGCCAACTACCCCGCCGGCGCGCCGGAATTACTCTCTAGCTTCGCCGCTTCGCTCTTAGGGAAACTCTACGAGTCATTGTGCGAAATTCAATTTACATGGGTCAAAAAAAAAAAAAAAAAATAAAAAAAAAAACAAAAAAAAAAAAAACACAACAAAAAAAAAAAAATAAAAAAAGAAAAATACAAAAAAAAGAATAAAAAAAAAGAAAAACAAAAAAAGGCAAAACTTCCGTCGAATATTTTTGTTTGCCAAGTAGCCCCCTGGCGCGCCGGAATTACTCTCAAGCTTCGCCGCTTCGCTCTTAGGGAAGGCCTACGAGTCACTGGGAGACGGCGGTAAACCGTCAAGCAGATTACCGCCGGGACCCCCGTAGAGCTCTGACAAAGCAAATTAGCGCCCAGATAACGAGGAGAGAGCCTTCTCGAATATCAGCTTGAAAACTTGCAGAACGACTCGCGCGCGCGGGCTGCGAGATTGCCGCGCCCGCATTCCACAAGGAAGCTCTACGAGTTCCCGGCGGTAACTAAGATTGACGGTTTACCGCCGGCTCCCTGTTTGTTTGTTTGACTTATTGAAAATGAATTTCTCAAAATTTGGAATCGTTAGAGCCCTAGTATTGTTTCTCCTCATGTTCGATCTTATTCCCGCTTGCCATCTTAATATTAGGTCGATCGGGTACACACTACTGCCAAGAAGCATCCAGGCGGGATCACCATCGTAGCAGGTGCAATCGCTTTTCTGAACTTAACTCGAGCTGCAGATGAGCAACAGAGCTGTTCGGCATAATCGTGTTTTTGCCGGCTCCTGTGCGCAATGAGATTCAGTGTCCTTCACCTTGCCGTCTTCTCGAAGTATTCGTGCCTCTCGATGCGCGTGCAGCATTGGTAAAGCAACTCCCGCCTGCAAAAGTGAAGCTAGTTGCGGCTACGCCAGAGGATGTGTGAGCCAGAAGCGTCCAGCCTCACGAGGCATATGGGGCCTCCTAGGCGACTTACTATTCCTAATGTCGTTTCGTTGTTGTCGCGGTCGCGTCGCGGATTTCGCGCTGACCGATTCTGTTTCGATGGTGAGCAACAGTGGCACTAGTTTGATGATTTGCGACGTTTTGCGATTTCGACGGTGATCAATTGGGTTTGTTCGCTTGCCCTCCTTGCTGTTTTGGTGCGTTTGGTGTCGCTTCTCTGGTTGGGCGAGGGTGCTCTTGTTTGTGCGAGCACTGAAAAATCCCCTGCTTAGTGTCGGTCGTCCATTCGCTTTCTGTTGTTTTCTGCTTTCTCACGCCCTTGCTCCCTGTCTGCCCCCTGAAGCTCGCAGCAGAAAGAACGCAGCAGGACTTGTCTAGCGGAAATAAAGAGGGAGTGGAGGAGACGAGGGAGGGAGGGAGGAGGAGGTGGGAGGTGGGAAATAGGTGGAGGCGTCATGACATCTTGAGCCAGCTTACGACTTCGAGCCAATAGTTGGAGCCATGCCTTGGACTCTTGGAGCCGATTTTGAGGCGCGGCGTCCCCGAACGGGACGGAGGACCCGAAGGCCGAGCATTCGAGGGATCCGAGAGTCGGTAAATTGAATTACAATAACACCAACACGAAATATATTTTTTTTTTTTTAAACAAAAAAAAAAAAAAAAAAAAAAAAAAAAAAAAAAAAAAAAAAAAAAACTATGCCATTGATTCATAAAAAAAAGAAATGATATATTTTGTTTTGATTTCAATACATATAGAACACTGGATATTATTATATTCATGTTTTTTTGTTTAAAATTGCCTAGAAAATCAATAGATCAACACAAAGCTTTGGCTGTTCCGCTGGTTGAAGGCGGAAGTCAGTGTCGGCCCCCGAAAGATGTCACGGCGGTTGGGCCATGCGCCATCGGTCGTCCGTCGTCCTGTCGTGTAGCCATTTTGGCTCAAGCTGCTGCCGCCGCTTCCTCGCGCCCGACGTGCGACCTCACCCACTGGCGGTTCCAAGTGGAGGTTCGGGGCATTGGGGGGTGAAACCGCAGAACTCCCACGGGCGGGCCATGAGAGCGCCTGTGGGAGTTTTGCGCCACCCTCCCATCCCCCAACCCCTTCTGGAATCATCCAGGAGTCCTGGAGATGGCCATCGCCGCGATGGCCGCCCCTTCGAGCGCGGGCGTCAGCACGGACTCGAATGATGATGAGGAGGAGGACGAGGCGCAGCAGCAGGGGCAGGAAGAAGAGACGGATGAGGAGGGAGAGCGATCAGGACGAGGAGGAGTCCTGAGGAGGAGTGAGGAGAATGAGGATGAGGAGGAGGAGGTGGAAGAGGAAGGAAGGGTGGAGAATGGGGAGGAAGAGTAGTAGTAGGAGGAGGAGGATACGAGGAGGAGGATGAGGAGGAGAAGGCAGGAGAAGGAGGCAGGAATAGGATGAGGAGGAAGGGAGAGGAGGAGGAGAGGAGGAGGCATGAGTGTGAGGGGGAGGGGAAGAGGAGGAATCCTCCTCTCTTCCTCCTCGCCATCGCACCTCCTCAACTCAACCGCTTCTTCCTCCTCTCCTCTTCCTTCTCCCCCTCCACCCCCTGTTCTCTCATCCCCATCCTCCTCGCCCCTCTCCTCCTCATCTCCTCCTCATCTTCCTCGTCGTTCTCATCCTCCTCATGGTCGTCCTCCTCTGCCTCCTCTTCTCCTCTTCCTTCTCCCCCTCCGCCACCCATCCGCCCCTCCTCCCCTCGTCTTCCTCTTCCTCCTCCATTACTCCCTCTCCCCCTCATCCCAGCATCCCCGAGGACTGGAGGGCGGGCTGCTATCCGGGGACGCCGAGGTCGCCAGGAATTGAAAGCAACCAGCCACCAGCTAGCGGGGGGGCGCCCATCTCGTCTCTTGCTCGAGCTGGTGACCTTGTCGCGGACTGCGTCTGGACAAGGGTCATCATCAGCTCGAGGGGGGGATTGGGGGATCGGCTGCCTCAATGCTGGTATGCTGGTTGCCGTCGCATCTGGCGCGAGGACTGTCGTGGAGTTCCCTAGCGCGGAGTACGACGCGATGCTGGAGCAGCTCGTGTGGGAACACGACCAGCCTGGAGTCCTGGAGGCCTTCGGATGGGCACGCGATGTCGCGATGTATACACGCTACGTCGCTCCGTCGCTTGGTCGCCCGTGAAGCGCGGCGTCCCCTCCCGGGACATCGCACATCTCGCGGCAGACCAAACGACGTGGCGCATGCGCGCATGCATCGAGATCTTCCCATCCTCCCAGGCCATCTTGGAGGAGGCGCGCGACGAGCCGCTGGATCCATGGGTCGTGGACACCAGCTTCGCAGATCTGGCCGAGAAGCTAAGCCGCATGCACGAGATGGCCGATCGCGAGGATCAAGCTCAAGATCATCAAGAAGATCATGATGATGGTGATGCTGCCGCGAAGGCTGAGGATCTTCGCATGGCCGAGGCAGCCGCTCGCGCTCGGCGTGCAGCGGCGGCTCCGCAGGCCAAGCAGGTCAAGGTGCTGGCGACCTCCCCGACTGGCGCCGTGGCGATCAACGTCTCGCTGGAGGGCCGGGAGCACCGGGAGCGCGCCAAGACCGCCAAGACGTTGCGTGGCCGCAGCCGCGGCAGCCGCCAGGGTGACAACGCGGACATGATGCACGCGCTGGACAGGAGGCTGGCGCGGATCGAGCGGCTGTTGTCGAAGGTTGCCACTGCGTCCACGTCGTCGGGGTCCTCGCGGTCTTCGCCTGCCGATTCTTTGGATGATCACTTTGGCGCCGCTAGCGGTGCTTCGGGTACATCAAACAACCGCAACCACAACTAAGTCGATTTTTATGGATTGATCGTGGTTGTGGTCGATTTGGCAGTCCTGGACACCCATATCGACCACAACCAGTACTAAGCTGGTTCGGTGTCTGACGTCTGACGCCCGATGGCATGTTTAAGACATCCCAGACATCCCCCAGGGCGTCTCCTCAATGTGGTTGTGGTCGTTTGCCGTCCCCGTAGGTGCTGGTGCGACTGAGAGCGCGAGTCTGTCGCCGTGGAGTTCGCCTGCGCCTGAGCCCCCTGAGAAGCGCGCTAGGCGCTAGGCGCTGCTCGCCTGCCTGAATGCATGAATTAGCATGCGCGCGTGAATATGCACGCGCGCAGCCGCGTCGCCACGGCGATAAGGACGGTTAAGCGGTTAAGGCGCTGAGGGGGAGGACGAGAGGACGAGAGGACGAGAGGACGAGGCGGAGGAGAGCGAGGAGATGAGTGAGGGGGATGCGAGGGAGGTTGAGGAGGATCAGGCAGACGACATAGAGAGCAGCAGAGCTGGCAGAGCAGTGCAGAGCAGCAGAGCAGCAGCGCAGCAGCCCAGCAGGACCGTTTCTTCTTTTGTAACCTGGCTGCCTCGGGAGGCGGCCTCGGCGGCCTCGGCTTCGCCTGCGAATTCGCGCAGGCTCGCGGAGTGGAGCGTTCCAACTCCGACGGGCAGCAAGAAGTTAGTCCCCCCCCCTCCTCTGCCTCCTCCTCTCCTCCTCTCCTCCTCCCCATCCTCCTTCTCCCCTTCCCCTCCTCCTCCTCCATCTCCATCCTCCTCCTCCTTCTCCTCCATCCTCCCCCTCGTTCCCCTCCGTCTCCCCGTCTCCCACCGCTCTTTCACTTTCTCTGGAATCGTAACGTAGCCATGAGGCTATTAAAGTATGTTTTTTTGTTTTGATTTTGTTTGTACATGTGTGTGAACATCACAAGTGTACGGTAGGGTCGGCTACGGTGCTACAGTGGCTGAGGTTGCTGCTGCGGCACGGTAGTCGCGATCTCACGGTCTCACAGGAGGTAGTGTAGATCTCGCGGTGTCTGTTTGTAGGGTTAGTAGGTTTCGAGGTCGCGAACCGTCGAGAAAAGGAAAAGCCAAGCGGATCACATCAATCGCATCATCGAATCAGTCTGGGAAACGGCGGTGGTGGAGCGGCGGGGCAGTTGCGGCCGGTGGACAAAGAATGCTGGCTCGAGCCCCTGGGTGGTGTCTGGGCTCACTGGACTCGGCCCCTTATCGTCACGTACCGCCCCTGGCCCCCTGGCTCGCCCTGGTTCCCGGGACCCTTATCGGGACCACTTTATCTATCGCAACTACCCGCCTCTCCGACGCACCGGCCGCATCCCGCGTCGTCGCATCGTCGCGAGGGCGCGAAGTCCCCCCCCCGTTCTCCTACTTGCCCCCTCCTCGCCTCCTTCTCTCTTCCCTGGGTTCTCTGGAGTTCTCTGGCTCCTCTTTCCCTCTTCCTCACCTCCTCCCCCTCCACCGCGATCCGCCGCCTCCCCTGGCCCCCGCCCTTCTCCCCTTGTCCCCCCCTTCTCTCTCTTCCACTTTCGGCGCGCGGGGCGGGTCTTTACCATCCACCGTCTTCGCCAGACCGTCGTCGAGGGGTCGAGGGTGTCGAGGGTCGATGGTCCTCGGGCCTCCTTGGGCCGTCTATGAGGAGTTATGAAGAGTCCTTGGGAAAAGGGCCTGGGTCCTAAGTCCTTTCGGGGTTCGGGTTCGTGGCGGCCTTTCGGGGCCCCTCGGCCTTGAAGCCCCGCGCCGCGCGCCGCCCTCGGGCCCTCGCGCCCTCGCCTTCGTTCGGTCGTTCGGCGTCTTCGCGCTCTTCGCGTCGTCGCTTGCGGCATCGCCGCAATGCCACGCGCCTGCTCGCCCTCCAGCGGGGGGGGGCCCGCGGGCAGCGCCAAGGCTCGAGATGAGCCCCTGGCCGAGGTTGCCAATACATGAGCGCTTACTTGACAGCTCATTTAACATGGCTTCTGAGGTCGGCGGCGGAGGCTTCG